GTGCAAAGCGAGAATCACCAAGCGAGCAACTGGCGCTCTTCGCGTCAAAAACGAGGTCTATGATGTTTGCATATGTAGCGGGAATAGCAAAAACAGCTCGCGACATTCCTCGAGACCTGGCTATGTAGTTTCGATTCGCGACATGCCTGGTCATCAGGGATGTCTCACCCTCTAATCGAGGCTCCGTGACGTGGCTGACCAAATCGGCCAAAATTCAGCCAATTCGCGAAATGGCCAATTCCGGGCTTCAGCTGGAACATGCGCGCATACGCAAGAAATGAAAATAAAATTAATTTACAATATATATTCTGCTATTCTCAAGAAGGTTTCCTTTGAAAATGTCTCTTCACCTGCAGGCGAGGCTAAACGAATGGCAACCGAATTCCGATCGAACCGATGACAAATTTCCGTAAAGGCGGGACCACTTGATTTGAAGTGTAAGCACGCCGGTTGAATACTCGGCAAATATTTAATCTGCGTCCTTACTTTCCTCCAGGCATTTCCCGATGCATGCTTCACGGTATCCTATCGCGCAGACGGACGTACCCCGGGATAGACGTCGATATTTTACTCATCTTCTCGTCTCTATACCGGCCCTTTCTTTCTCCTCGGCGCATGAACTCGGCGATTAACGCGACCGGTTTCGCTCGAAATGGCGCGTTGTGCGAGAGCGAAAATGTTCATTAATCTCTCCTGGTTTTATCCAACGTCCACTAAAAATGTAAAACGCGCCGTTATGCAAATTTGTGTGCAATTTTTCTGAGAAATTATAAATCATTGTTGACCACTTGAGCGGCAATTAAGATCGACAGTAGCACCGTCGCAGAAATTCGCGAGTTGCCTCTAAATTGATCGATAAAATATCCCGAGCAAAAAATTATTAGGGCCATTCTCATGAAGCATAAGGCCCCGATAAAATTGAAAATAGGATGTCCTAAAAAGGGATCATTATTATATTACTATATCAGGCCCTGAGATGGATCTTTTAGGGATATCTTAGATTTTATGAAATAAGGCTTTGGTAGGAAAAGCTGAAAAGGGCCTTGGAAAGATTTTTTAGGGATGCCTTAGATTTAATAAATAAGGCTTTGATAGGCAAAACTGATAAGGGCCTTGGAAGAATTTTTTAAGGATGTCTTCGATTTCACGAAATAACGCTCCAACATGGAAAACTGATGTGGGCCTTGGAAAGATCTTTTAAGAGGATGCTTTAAAATCAAGTTTTGTTATAGAAAATTAATAAGATCTGAAGCGTGTAATAAGATTGTCATAGTTTAGTATTGTTTTAGTAGGTACGTTCTCTATCTGGTTCTTTTAAAGATTTTTTAATTATACCGCAATTAGAAACAAATTTTATTAGTTTTATTAGTTGCCATATTCATTAGTCTTTTCTAAGGATTTTTCTAGTATTGCCTTCGTTTTAAATGCAGCAAACTTTAATAAAAACAATAGCAGGATTTTTATGCGTAAAGAATGCTATATTTTATTGTATAGTATGCTATATTTTTAAAATCAAAAATTCTTGTTGTATACTAACAAGATTATAAAGAAATAAAGAAATTACAGTCTACATTTCTTGGAATGAAAAGAAGGAATATTTTTATTCAAGCAATAATAAAAATATTTCCTTATAAAGCTCTATTAATATTGCCTCATAAGGACCCGTTAAATTATTTGTTACACATTTTGCAGGACTCTTGTCTTTCTATCTCTACTAGGGCCCGATTAGTGTTAAAAAAATAATAATCAGGCCTTTATCAAAGCCCTAGTAATATAATTTTTCTGCTCGTGATTACGTACTTGAGCTACGAGGGAGCAGAAGGCTTGTGCAGGCAAGCAGCAACGTAACGTTCAGCGAATGCATATTTCATTAAACAAAATTCACCGCGATCGGCATGTGTTACAAGCCACACTATCCCGTAATCTCGATAAGCCACGGCTGGCGTAGATTTGCACATACACACACACATACATACACATGGGCGTTGATATAAAGTCGTTTGCGAGCGTAGATTTTATTGGGGCGAATTTTCAAGCAACGTCACTACCGCGGCACGCCTCGCAACGAGCGAGCCAGCATGACCGCGTTTACAATAGCTCATAAATATGGACTAGACAAGCGAAAGTTCAAAGCTTATCGGATTTCAGCTTAAAAGCGAACACTTGGCTACAGAAGCGGCATTAGCGCGCGCGTGTACATCTTCAGCGATTGGACTTCGCGAGGCATTAATCAGCTTATTAGCTCGAGCGCCCCGAGATGGTCGATTGAGGATCGATTTGCGCATGGGTTTGCGGAATAATGCGCTCGATCCTGTATAACTTGCGAACTTGGCAAACTGCGGAGATCGTTAATGCAACTTACATGCGTCGTGAAAAGTTCCAAGGTTCACGCGGACTCGCGCGCAGCCGATGATTTATACGTGCGTGAATTATTCACGACAACTCGCTGAATTTGATTCCGCAGCTTAGCGAACTATCGATAATGATGAACAGGCTGATGCGTACTTTAAACGAGATTTCTCGGCGAAGAAGCGGCTTTAACCTTTTAACGTCTACTGATGGTAACTACAGTTACCAGAAAAGCATTTAAGAATCCATAACTTAGTCAAAAAAGGAGATATTTTCGTTTTCTTTGCACCTGCACTGTAAAGGTGAATTCTTCTTCTAAAAAATGGTATATAAATTGTATGTAGATTCGGTTTAGTCTGTTTTTAGCTCAGTTTTAATGATAACATGTTTTGTCAAATTCCAAGTAGGCATAGTTAGTATTGTTACTGACATGTAGAAGTACACTATGAATGAATAGATTGGTGTCTGTTATAATTTTATACATTTGGAAGCTTTCTCAGATGCAAAATGTGAAATTAAAAGAATACAGAAATTAAAAATGGCGAATCCAATATGGTGGACACGAAAATCAAGAACTCAACCTATTTTCGTGAAACCGGAAGTGATGACCTACAGCGCCTTTTATGCGGCGAAAAATGAAGGGACGATTGACTATCTAAATGGTGATCTATAAGATATTCTTCTGAAATAGTAAGCTTGACGCTCTGAATGATAAACTTCACTCACAAATATAGTAAAGTTTCAGCTCAAAGATGTCAAGCTGACTACCAGAGTTACGTCGTGTATAGATTACCCTTCATTTTTCTCTATATAAGTTGCTCATTTCGTATATGCTTTTAGGCTCCAAGTCATATTTACCGGTAAACAAAAAGCGAACGATAAAAAAACCAATATAAAATTCTGATATTTTTTCGGTTATCACTACTTATAGTCTCAGTTCAAGAAAACTCAAATTTTATTCTTAAAGCACTTATAAAAAAATCGAACGTTAAAGGGTTAAGTAAGTCCTGGCCGAAGGAGTCGCGAGTGTGTTTGCTGCATTTTAGCTGAAAATAAAAGAAACTCCACGGCGTATTTGTAACACCCTTGCGCTCTTTGCGCGGCGGTTATTCGCGCGAAACGTTTTGCTTCTCTTGCGAGAAGTGAACTTTCCAGAATAATTCATGCGAGCCATATATATAGAATTCACATTTCGCGCACGTCTTCCGCCAACATTATAAAATATGCAAAATCCACAATTTCATATATCATATCGCGCTAATTATCGTGCGGATATTCCGTTGCGAGAATTCCACTTATTTTACCCGTTATCACGTTCGGTGCGGTTAAATTGTTGAAATTAACGGTAATGTCTGGAGCGAGCCCCGCGCGCTGATTAGCGAAATAACGTTCGTGCCGAAAAATTGATGAGGCGCGACTCCGTAAACGTGAAGGACCTCGACGACGAGTCTCGGCCGCCTTGACACAGTGACACGAATGTAAGCGGTGATAGTAGTTCAGCTTTTGGCTGACCCACTTTCTCTAGTCATCGACGCTAAATCTTTGTTCCGCGACCACGACGCACGCACACACACGTTCCGTCGCTATTTTTAATTAAAGGCGGAACAGTGAGACATGGAACTTTTGTGTTCTCGTATTAACGATATGTAACATCCATCCGCGTCCGTTGGTCACTGGCAGCGCTGACTGAAGTGAAATTCTGATCGATAGCCGCAATGCCATTTCGGATGCCATTTTACGTGTAATTACCTTCTTTCTCACGGATGATTTTAGGACGCTTAGTCTCGTCAGGGCGAGCCGATCGCGAGAGAGACGTCGAACTACGTATTACACCGAAGATTAATCCTCGACGTGTCCCTGCGATTTATTTTTGCCCCTGGTGAGAAAGGTGAAAGGGGAAGATCAGCGGTTGGGAATATATGCGTGGCCGACGATCCCCTTTGCTTCCTCCTCGCTCTCAAGCTGAAATCTTATGTGTCACTAATTGCTACCATTGTTACAGCCGTAAGAGACAGAGAAACAATGGGACAAAGGCAAAAATGCGACTTTGTCGACAAACTGCCAGTTCGCGTTCCTGCTTACCATCGCACTCGCGCCAAGTTCGCCGATCGATTCCAGCTGCGCGCATTTTCATTGTTCAACCGAGCACATTTCTCATTTATAGGGGAACGATACCGAGAAGTTTATGTATATCGTAATTGTCTCATATGTTGTGCATCTTGAAGCGTTATCGCTTCATTGTCGTCCATTGTCCATTGTCGGCGAAACGAAAATAGAAACTCCCGCTGGAAATTGCATATCGCATTATTAACATGTCCGCTATCGGTGTCGCATGGCGGCGTGACGCCAATGATTCCTCACGAGAGACCGACGTCACTGTCGTCAATGTGTGTGACACGTCGACGAAATTCTTTTTCCACATCTGTATTGTCAAACCAAGTCTGTTTCATACAAGATCTGTTTACACAAAGAAGAAAAGGAAAACATACGAGCAGAGATCCGTTGCAGCGCGGGGAGAGTTCCCGAGAGATATTTTGTCGCGGACGTATTAATATTCAAGGGATAAGCATGCTTTAATCGACGTTACACTTCTTCCCGAACCCGTGACCAAACGGTCGTCTCTCTTCACGGATTCATCTCGCGTGTTTCAGGCTCCGCCGTCTCATAGAATTTGTCGGATTCAGCACCCGGAAGAATGGGTTGGATTCTGCCCGGACTTGGAGTGGCTTTGGTCATCGTCATCGCCGCCGGCGCCACTCTCGCCATTTGCAAAAGGTGATCGCACGGCATTATCCCGTTGTTACAGACGCTTCTCCCCCTCCCCTCTCTCCATTATTATTACCGTTCCATTGATTTCTTCCGTGATATCTGCCTCCTTCCCCAATCGATGGGATAAGAATACAATGGTATGCTAGTCCTCGCAGAACGGCTGATGAACGTACTAATGCGTGCAACAGGTAGAAAGCATCACTCGGCGAGCAATTATTACACCAGTAATTTGGTGCCTGTTCTTGCGCGAGCACAAGTTTAATCCATTCTTTCCCGAAAGAATAAATCTAGACTCATCTTGCTCGAGCGCGAGATATTACGAGGGCTGCGGGTGAAATTGCGACTTCCAAAGTAATCCGTTGCTGTGTGCGAGCGTATATAGCACGGCGAATCAATTAATCTAGAGGAACACGATGACATGGTAAATACGTAAAAGTCGGAACAGCGCGGACAAATTATATTCTCCAATAAGGAAAGGAGAAACAAATTGTAGGGTAAATCCGGGATAGATGAGCACAGTTTTTTTAGGTGGAAATGACACATCTGTATTATTGCAATAAATGATTAACAAACTCAGTAGAGGTGTAATGTTTAAGGAGAATTTTTGTGAAAAAAATTCATGGGACGCCAATAATAACGAAATATTAAAAATATTCTGTGAGGGATAGATGGTCCAGATGTCCAGATTAGATGGTCATATGTGAAGGGTTGGTTGGGCATGCCTATAATAATGTATTTTACATCCCTTTATTAATTATTTTTTATTAATCCTTTTATTAATTATTAATAAAACAAAACGTTTCCACAAGTTTCTTCTTATATAGAAACCAAGGCCAACATCGGAGAGAAGGTTAAAAAGTGGCGACATAGAAAAAGGCATTATGGGAAAACATAGTTTATTAAAGGGAGCAAAGAGAAAGCAAACTCTATTCGACGTTTTTAAACGAAACAGGAAGCTGTTTAATATGTACTGAAGTTTTTAATGTTAGGTATATTGATAATCGAATAGATATCGGATCGACGTCTTCTCGACACGTCTAAAGCATCTAGAAAACGTCGATCCGATGTCCATTGCTTGCTATTTCTCGCTGAGTAGGCTGTCCATCTAACCCTGATAAAAATAAACCCCATCTCGTTTGTGAAGATGCGTATTTGTCGCGTGAAACGTAGTCTCGGTGACGGATTTTCAGATGAAGTACGCAAATATGTTTTTTTTTTAGTTGTTTAAGCCCAAATCTAATGTAACTCAAAATAAACCATATTCGCAAGGTATTTGTCCGACATGTGAAACGTTTTTGAAGTTAATAGAAACATAAAACATTTATTCACAACAACAGTGTCTTTGTGCATCAAGAAGAGACGCACCTACATCCAACTCACAATTGACCGATCAGCGCTGATGCCTAGCATATATTAACAAAATTAACAAAATTAGCAATTGTGCAAAATTATAGCGAACCATCTATCCCCTATGCCTATCTATCCCGGTCTTCTATCCTACTATATTAAAAACATGTTTTAATTCGATCGTCGAATCGACGTGGACGAGATCGGAAAATGACCGAAAAATCATTCGCGCAAAAAGAAAACGCGACGAGCAAATGAATATTTTTGCGACAAAGTGATGCTCGCGTATATTTATTTTTTCCGAGTTGTTTTAATCAATCCATTCGCCGCGATAAATTGAGCGACTAAGCCAGCAAATCGAGCGGTTGGTCAATAAGCCACGCTTACTTACGTCGGCTTTGTTCTCTAGCGACTCTCAGTTACTTCATTTGATCCTTTGCTTCATTCTCGACGTAGCGGTTGTTTCCGCATTGCGTTTCTCCCGCACGAGCCTCTCCTGCGTCTCGCGATACTTGCGCTACAAATGTAATTAGTGCTTAGCTCCCGTTGTCTCTCGTCAATCCGGCAGATATTGCATCGGATGGCAGTTCGGCACCAGGAATGTCTGGAGTGTCTGCGAGGAGTGGAGGCAGAGGCTTTCCTGGCTTTGGGCACCGCGGGAAGAAAAGGTAATTCGCGTATCTGCGCGAGCTCCGTTTTCATATTTCATCTGGATATTGTCTGGAAATATTATCACATATTGATAGCTTTATTGCCAGCTTGTTGTCGATACTCTGTCGTGTTTAAATTTACACAGAGCTACATGTCGGTGTTATGTATATTACGCCTATATTGCTTAAAAAGTATACACAGGTGCTGATTACGGCACATTGTCTCGACGCGCGATTTTAATAAATAAAAGCTCGCTGTTGGACCTGACACAGAAACTCGTAGCCTCGCAGTGACTTTATCCCCCGATGTGTTTCTAATCGTACGACACCGTTTGAAGGTGGGATTAGTAAAGGCTCAGCACCCAACCGCCCAGACAATACCAGGCCTATATCGCCAGGCTGGGAATACCTCTCAACATCTCTTGCATAGCGACAGCGACCTCCGGCTAGACGCGCAAGGCGCTTTCACCAGGTATGCGACCGAGCGAATAATTAAATGTGCACTACTCGGTAATATAATATTCATGCAATAGCGGGGGAAAAGTGAATACGCAAAGAAACTCGGTGAAATTAAAGCGTGACTTTCGAGAGGACGCCGTTTGAATAAATTCTCGCAGGAAGAAAGTTTTCCCTCTCGATGAAAATTAACGTGAAATGTTTCTCCTCGGAGTTGAATTGATACTAAGTGCTACGATGAAATTTATTCGCGTGTCGGAAAATACTAGTATATACTGCAGAAACTGCAGTAAAATATTTCTGCACAAAAGTATCCGGAGATAAAATTAAATTAGTTAATTACATCCGTGCATTCTTGACGGAATTATTAAGTTAGATGATGCCATGTTATGTCATGTTGAAAAATTTGTACGAAAAGTTGGGAAAGAGCAGGATGTACACTGATGTTTTGTTAAAATGTTTCTGTTAAAAAAGTTACGTTTCAAAGTTGCGTCAATCAATAATGAAACACTGTGACCACATCGGTTCTTATCCCGGTAAAATCAAAACTTTCTTCCTGGAAAACTTGGCGTGTTCTAAGTTAAAATTTATTCAAGATAAAGAATTTTGTAAAGCTCTTATTAAGATGAAGCAATACGAGAGTAACGACAAATTGTGATAAGAAACAATTATAAGTTTTATTTGCATTTATTTAAAATATATTCTACACGCAGACACAAATTCTTATTATATCTTTCATAATTTATTTTCATAATTTTGGCTAAAGACAATCACAATGTGCGGTTGGAACGTTCCGATAAAAATTTGTTTTATATCTTTGTACAGAAGAATACCTATATTGGACTAATTTTCACTCTTTCATAATTTGCAGATACTTAATAAAAATTGGATAATAAGGACTAATTAAAGTTATCTTTGATTTGTTTGTGACACTCTGTAATTTTTTGAGATTTTTTGTACATCTGTAGATACGTTTTTTTTTTTAACTTTTGCAAGTAGTACAATTTTGGCAACTTAAATTTTATTTACTTAGTTGCTTAAATTATACCACGGAGTTTCCCAAATTGTATTGTGTTTCTTTTATCGCACTGATGCAATTAATTTAAAAACTATGAGGAGATAAAAATAAAATACAAACAATTTAATTAAATATATGTTTAATTGTAATTATAGTTTCTATATTAAACCAAAAAAATTTGTTTAATTATAAATAAACATTAAGATTACAAAAAATAACGTGCTCTTGTTTTTAAGAACTTAACTAAAAAATTAATTAAAATCACAGTTTATATAAAAAACTAAGAACTAATAAGAAAAATCTCTTTTAATTATAAAAATAAACATTAAAATTATTTATTAAAATAATTATTAAAATTATATTCATTTCTACGTGAAGTTTATTTTACATGAAAATTAATTATTTCATAAAATCAATTTTTGACCACGTAAGTAAAAATTGCAGAATTCATCTATTACATCTTTGGAATTAAAATGACAGAAATAAAATATTTTTGTTTTCAAAAACTTCGCTAAAAAATAAATAATTATTGAACAAGAACCTATTTCACTTGTTTTTCAATTAAAACGAAAAATAAATAAAGATAACACAAAGGAAAAAATAAACTGCGCTTTATGGATTTTAAGGACCATAGTCACAAATGTAGTTTTTCTTGGAAATTTTTAAATTTTACCGGTACAGTATAGATAATCAATAGGTGGTAGGATTTAAGAGACTAGTCGTATTTTTCAAATTATGGCAGTAAAGTATACACAGGGTAAGATTATGTCCAAACTATGCCGTGCAAACATGTCAATTTGCATGTAGTATAAAAATGACAAGCGCTTAAATTGATACATCACTTTTGACACTTTCGAAATATATTATGTAAAAGTGGGTAAAACTTATTTCTAAAATTAGAAAAGAACAACCTTTATTTGCTTTTTCTAACTTTTGTGCATAAATTCGCCTTTTCTCTATTACTTTTACAGCGATAGATGAACCTCGCACAATATGCAGATGCCGCTAGGCCTTCGGATTCTATAAAATAAAATAAAAATAAAAATGGTAAAATTGTACATGAATTTAGGAGCCGATACAATATCGACATTTCCCTTACGATATATTTTCAATGAATGCAAACGAGACCTGCAATCGACAGATTTACCATCCCTTACTACTGTATTGTTTCAAATGAACTCATGCAGCACTCCATCTCACTTTTCCATTTTGGTTTTGCACACACGCGCGCTATTTTTCACACGTATAGAATATATTATGCCATACTATTATGCAGATTCGAGGCTGTCGACAGGGACCTGCACCCTCCCCTCGGCGGCAGCACGATACCACCTCAACCGCTACGACCCGCTCCTCAACCACGGCCGACTGCGCGTCCGCGACCGTCTCCTCTGCACACACCGAGCACCGCGGACTATCTTAGGATGCAAGCGGGCCCAGGCCCGCTGACACCACCACCGTCGTTGCAGAGAGGACCGATGCGGCCGAGACTCTCCGGTCCGTCCGTGTTTCTCTTCCAAAGCGAGCCGCCGAAGAATCACGGCCCATTCCAATCATCGATCGAGCATTCCGCCTTCATGTTCGACGATGACACCGCGAAGACGATAGCGGAGAGTATCCAGATGACGCCTTATGCCACTCAGAATCACATAGATCCCAGACTCGTCAGGTACGTTTCACGAACACGAAATTTCAGCGAACAACGAGGGAGGGACCTTCCGCCTGAATAGCGACTAAATGTACCAAACTGTCAATGAGTAAAGGATTTTATTTGTTAAATATATCTGTTACATCAGATGTGCCTGGTCAACTTTCGCCACATTATCTCCCACAGTCTGCCAGATGATTTTTATCTCCATTGATATAACATAAAAATCACCTGGCACGTGACAAAAAGTAACATGGCGGACCATACCTACCTCTTGTGTCTTTGTGCTTGAGGAGACTATTTTCTTGTCAAACGCAAAATCAGTAGAAAGCAAGTACATTCGTTTAAGAGATGTCCTCTTAAAAGCAGTTTAATTTAACTTCTTTGTCGAGACGTTGATGTCTACGGTGATTTTACAGACAATTCGAGCCCCCGAAAGACCCGGCGCGGTTTAGGTATGGCATGAACCCTCCCATAGACAATCATCACGATAACTTGGACAGCGAGAGTATCGATAGAAGTTACAGTAGCTACGACATCGTCCAGAGGAATCATATCGCACGGCCATACGCGAGGAACGAGCCCATAGGATTACCACCGAGCATCGGTTTCAACGTCGCTAATTCACCGAGCACAACGAGCCAGGTCATCATGGAGTCGATATACGGGCCTCAGACTGTCTCGCAGATGCTACAGAACAGCGAGGAGCTGAACGGCGACTTGAACCGCAAGAACAGCGAGATGCAAAATATCGAGATGACTCCGTTCAAGAGCAGCGTCCATCAGGAGAACATCGATCCCTACATGTTCCATGGCGGCGTTTCGAAGTCGCAAGATCTCGAAAGAGTCTCGCAGTATATACAGAGTCTGCCCGACCTTCTCGTCTATGAGTCCGTGAACGAGCTCGAGGCGCATCAGAATCGAGACCCAATATTGTTCACGAACGCCATTCAAGAATCGATCGGCCATACAAAAGTCGCGAGCGAGTCGGCCTCGAGTCCAGTACCGCCGCCGCCTGCACCGCCGGATCCGCAGAAGATCGCGAAGAAGAGTAGCCCTACCACCGGCGAGAGGATCTTCAGTGCTTTGAGATCGGTCACGTCGCAGAGCTATATAGATGCCTCGGAGTTTTATAAGTAAGCTCGTTGCGGAAGGTCACGCAGTGAAAGAAATCGTCTCTCGATTTAAAATATATACCGCACACGCAGAGTAAAATTATTATTCACTGCCACACGTTCTTTTCTTTTTCTTTCTCGGCAATTTGCACGCGAATTCATCCGTGAGTATGTATTTCTCACACGTCAGCTTGTCATGGGATATATTTCTTTATTTGCAGTTCGGTGCTCTCCTCGGCGCAGCAAGTGCAACGGTTTACGTTCCCGTCGACGTCACCGTCGTTTGTGAACGACACTGCTGGAAATCACTTGCAAGATGCCGAATATCTGCAAGATATGCGAGACATTTACGCGGAGGCTGACACAGATACTGTTGGTCTAGACGTCTCGAGGCGAAGCTCCGATCTTTATAGTCCTGAACTAAATCTGGAAGCTCACAGGACAGCGCAAGAAGTACTAATTTACATTGTTTATTTTTTTTATTTTAATATTAATCGGGACAATGGCATATTTAAGAAAAATTGTTGAAAGTATATATCAAGTTTAATATTGGTTACAATAATCGTGCAATTGTAAGCAGATAAATCAGATATAATCTGATGTAAAACATTTACATTTACGAGATTTATGAATCTCTCGTTATAGTTTCAAAAAGTTAATTACTTTTATTCATCCTGAATTTTTTAATTTTCTCCTCCTCTTTTATATTTTTATTCTTTGCAGGTATACAATAGTCTGCAAGATCCGCCGTCGTCTCCTTTGTTAGTGAAAGAGAACAATCACGAGTCTTACACTTACTTATCGGACCCGAGTTTTACTCGCACGTCAGAGGTACGTAAAATTTTTTTCTAAAAACTTTTCTGTAATTCTCTGTTGCAATTCGTTTGCAAAATACTTATACCGTGCGACTGTAAAGAATATTTGGCAAAATAACAAATAACCCCTGTCGAGGTCTATTAATTGTCCGATCATGCTCCAGGATATTTTCAACAGTCTTGAGCAAAGGCGTAAAAGTATAGAAAGACTGAACGGTATTCAGGAATACGTAGAACTTGACGCTGCCGATCCATCGAGGTAAGAACTAGCCAAGTATTGTTAAGTGTTAATCATCATGTGTTAAGTGTTATCAATCATTCAATACGCATTCACATTATTATTTTTCGTCTATCTACCGTTATAAAATCGGGGACATATACGACGTTCACATTTATTTCCCCAGAAGACGAAACAGCCAGGAACTCTACGCCGCCCTGGAGGAAGTGCAGCTGAAGAGACGGCTTTCACAGGCAACCACATACTTTCTTTCTTTCTAAGAGAAAAAGATAATATTCATCGATACACGGTCGACTAATCTGAGAGAATGTGTGTATCTATTTTTAGGGTGTGGAGGAATCGTATCTGGGTTACGTATTAAACGATCACAATAGATCAGGGAATCGTCGAGGCTCGCTGGTCCCTGAACCGGAGCCACCGCCTGACGAGTCCACATTGAAGAGAGCAATCAGTTGCGAAAGCGTGTGCTCCGACACCAGCGTCAATCTGAACGATCTGGAGGAGGCACCCATCGTCGGACACATCTGCGTCGGGCTTGAACATGAGAGATGGTGTGGTCGTGGAAGTGACAGCGAAGCCGACATGGCCGTGAGTGTTTTGGAAGCCAGGGATCTCATTGCTGCCGATGGTTCTCCTGCGCAGGACACTTTCGTTAGGTACGTGTCCCTTACTCGTATCAGTATATATCGTTGCGTGTAAAAAGATTGGAACGTTATTAAGCAATCTGTCTGTGCCAACTTTGCACAAACATGAGAAAAAATTAAGTTACAGATTGAAAAAAATTTACTTGCATCTAAAATACCAATTTAACGCATTGTGTGCAAATTTCATTGCTGCGCCGATTGAATATCTGTCAATTGATAATCTACTTTTGTACAAAAGTGTTGGAAAACTGTTCTTTCTGTTCTTTCGTAGGGTGTGTTTGTTACCCGACAGACAGACACACGTGCAAACGAGAATTTACAGAGGATGTCCGTCGCCGAGCTACCAGGAGAAATTCCTGTTTCCCCTCGACGGTGACCCAACAGGCAGAACACTCTTCGTCGAGGTGCTTTTCATTTGTTACTTTAGCCCTGCCCCGAATCATTTGTTTCACATATGAATTAAGTACAATTTTTAGAGAGATGGATTCTATGGAGCACATTCGCGATCTGTCGCATGTCGTTTCTCTTCTCGTTGCTCAGGTATTCTCCGACGAGTCCAACATCGGCGGCGGTGCGTCCTTAATCGGCGAGGCCAGTTTGAAGCTCGAGTCTGCAGCGAGACCGCCAGCTACAACTTGGCTGGCGCTCAGTGGACCTGCCTCACCCACTCCGCATCTAGGAGAGCTCATGTTCTCTCTCAGTTATTTGCCAACAGCGGAGAGACTCACTCTCGTGGTAGTCAAAGCCCGTAACTTGCGCGGCGCGAATTCTAATCCGGGTGATTTCTTCGTTAAGGTTAGGACTTGTAGACTTCTCATTTCCACTTTTATACTACTGTCGTAATGAGATAAAAAAGAAAAAGATTCTAACTTCTCTTCTCGCTAAGGTGTACCTACTTCAACACGGAAAGAAGATGCACAAAAAGAAGACTTCTGTGAAGAAAGGCGAGAAAAGTCCGATCTTCAACGAGGCGATAATATTCAGCGTACCGGCGCACGCTTTACAGGTCCCGACAACTTTCTATCTCCTAATTACAAGAATTATAACGAAAGTATCGCATGCATCAGCACGGGAAGCTTGCGACATTTACATATCTACGGATTACTCCTGCAGACAAAGTTTAGCAAAGTTAAATGAACGATTTAACTAAACTTTCAGTTTAGTCAAATTGCATTCGACTGTAATCGCTTTTGACGGTCATACATTCCCTCATCATTTTATCCGTAAATATGTTTTTCCAACTCGAAAAAGTATTTAAAAATTAAATTAAAATTAATAAATCTAACTTAATTCCAACTTGGAGAAAAATTAAAACGTAAAAATATATACAGGATGTAACATCAACATACAAGTCAGTATGATGGGTTGCTTGTCCTTATTCGAATGATAAGATGCAGAGATTGCCGAAAAAGTCACTCGTTGATTTTGTTGATAATGATATTTGCAGTGCTCCCAGTTATGACAAGTGCAACTATTTCAACTTTGTACCGTGATCGTTATCAACAGTTTATCAACCGTTTATCGTGCTTTGAATTAAAAATGATGTTTGATAAAGCGAAACTGAAAAATAAATATTGTGGAATTAAGCAAAATAAATAAAAGTAATAAGAGTAATAAGTAAGAGGTAAATAATGCAACATACTTTCTGGTTTCGCATAATTTCTCAATTACTTTCTTACGTTGAAAAGTTCGATAGAAATTGGAGATTAGAAAGAACGATACAAAAATATTTAAAATATCTTATATATTTCTTATGTATTTCATCCATGTTTTTACAAAAGATCGTTTCTGCAGACATATGAATCGACTAGAAACGCAGTATAAATTTATGCGGTCGATAAACTGTCATCACAACCACGGTGCGAAGTTATTTGCACTTATCATAAAACAGCACTGCGAATATCATTATCAACAAAATCAACGAGTGACTCTTTCGGCAACCTCTGCGTTATCGTCCGAATAGGAGCAAGCAATAGGAGCAGGTCATACTGACCTGTACGTTGATGTTACACCCTGTACATACACACTTCTCTCGTAAAAATGTCCTGCAAATATTTCGCGTGGATCCTCACTCAGAGAGAACGTACTCCTTCCAGACTATACAACTGAGATTGACGGTGGCGGAATTGAACGGCGACCAAGGAGGTGCGAACGTGAAGGCGTACTCTGTCGGACACATCATCGTAGGATCTACCTCGACGGGAAGAGCCTTAGCTCACTGGAGACAAATGTTAGCGGCCTTGCGGCGTCCGGTTGCCATGTGGCATCCTCTCAGGAAGTAGAAGCAGAACCGTCCTCCGGCGCGATCCGGAGGAAAACGACCAGCCGAGCGATTCGCTCGAACGGTTCGACTGCGTATTCGAGAGCGATCTCGAAGTACCACTTTTCAGTCGATCGTATAGCATTGTGTGTCATGGGCGTATTCTTCGGTGTATTTATCGTCGAAAAGGGTACGCATATGTTGTATAATCTTCACGTAAAAATAAGAATACAGTCTCTCGCGGAGATACGCGTCTCATAAGCGTTTATCTATTATCAATCTAATATTAACGATCATTCGGACCATCGTGCGGCGATATGCGCTGTTCGTTGACAGAGGCATCAGGCCCGAAACGCACTGACTGATGGTGAGCCTTTAGCCTTTAGGAGTTGTAAAGTAAATTCTGACGAAAGGCGTCCCCCGCACTTCCATGTTTCGAGCATTATTACGACCTCTCGCAGCGCAGGAGACTCCTCTCGCCGAAAATTACGTTAAAATTGTTGGACTTGAAGTGAGAGACTAAAAGCCTTACCACAGCCATTTCCGTTTCCGGCGACTTACGCTAGCGACTTAAGATCATACCGCGTATCGCACAGTTAAATCGCACAGTATCGAATATTAATAATTCCAATCATTTGATTCGTCGATGCCATCGTCGATCATCATCGTTCACGTACATGAATAGGCTCTAAAAAGTGTTACCCGCGCCGTCGTTCACGGTAATCGCGAGTTTGGCGGAAAAGGAAGACCCGGGCGAATTTTGCGTCCGGGTCGTCACTTCGGACTCTATGAATTCGCACCATTGTCTCGCGACAATGAGATCTTCCTCGTAAACGGACAGTTTACGTGGATCTCTACCTATTTGGAAATATTTAACGCGGCCGATTGAAACGTTCGACGCGAAACTTTACAGCGATGTGTTCCGTACAATGTTACATATCTCTCCCTGAGCAATTAAGTATTTCAAGCAATTCATTCGTCTTGGGTCTTTTCTTAGGGATGCTTGGTTCAACTGTAACTTTCTTCCCTAGAGGTCGGGTGTGCTCTCTCCCATCTTTGATTGTTGCACTTCATCGTCACTTTGAGTAAGCAAAGATGTTATGCAGAAGCTTTGCGCGCGTTTATCAGGCCCAAGACAATGCGAAAGGGAGGGGAAGGGAGGAAAAGGAATAACGAAAGCGACAGTGGTAGCGGTGAAGTAAGAGCGAACACGAGAGAATACGAGACGGTGTTTGTAAAGTTTCCGCGAAAGTTCGTGATTCGTCATATAAGTGTTAAAGATTAATGCATCTTCCATCTGGACATCATCACGATCCCATCGCGCTCACCACCACGTCGTGTCATCGTTCGTTGGTAATTAATTATTGATGTAGCGAAGTTTCAGCAAGTAAAAAGCAGTTCGACGCGAAAACTTCGGGGAGGGGGGAACTTCGAATTGCTGCGTATTATTTCGAACTCTTTATATCGAAGTTCCCCGAAATGTGTAACGTTGTTGTATGTGCTGTGGACATGTTAACGCTTATACAGAGTTTATCACTGACGTTATCGCACGACATGCCGACCAGTTTTCCCATTTGCGGCAATGATCGCGTTCAAGTCTCTCAAGCTGATTGCTGAAGTATTCTTTCAAACCGACGTCGTATGACTTTACGATGTACATACATAATTATCAGTAAAAAAAAAATTCACACTTTTCGTTCTCGTAATTGCTCAATTATTCGATATTGTTTATCAGCACAAAATTCTTCGTCGCAAACGCCTGGAAATGTTCGACTGATGTCACAAACACACGACTCGAAAATTTTGTCGCCATGTACGAAACAAGGGGAATTTATTTTTTCACGGACCGGCCACTGATTGTAATCAACCGATCTCTTACAATCACCATTTTACGTTTGACGGTAAAGTAATAACACGCGACGAAGAAGTCGGTTTTGAGCCGGTCTTAGCACTCGATGGAATATTGGAACTATTTTGAGACTGACAACTTGCGATAGACACGATATAATTCTATTGCATTCGTAAAGAATAGAAGATACACGATCTTACGTAATCGCCATAGCTCTTTAATACAATCGTTACGTGTTGATTTCTCGGGCAGTGTGTCTCGCCTTTCTCGAAAACCAAGGGTCACAAGTTTTGACTATCATTAGAATTTAAATTAGATTAGACTTAAGGAGAGAGTATCGTGAACTAGAATGTAAGGGAAAAGCTCGACGCGTTTCCACGTATAATTATCTCACAAAGAGTCGCTGCTGTATAAACGTGACCCGGCATAGCGACGTGCGTGCCTATTTCTTCGCGATTTGCACTCCGAGGATTTGTTAAAGGATGAAATGTTTCTTCGCATTTGTTGCTTTCAGCAGGTTGTTGTTGAAGAGTTTAAGTGTGCGATTCTGTCGATACTCAAGCAAAAGTGGAGAACGAGCCGCGCGTCAGATACTGTCTTCTCTCTGCAGGAAACAAGCGAATCAAAAAAGAAAGAAAGAAAACAAAACAAAACAGAAAGAAACGTCGATAAGCATTCGTTCTGTGAAGTTGAGAATTTCATCGCCACCGAATGGATCCCTTCCAACACACGCTTATCGTTTCCTTTGTTATATAATGCGCGCGCGCGCGATCGGGGCCATCAACGTATGAGATCACCGGATTCACAGTTCCGACACTGTCGATCGACCCTGTCGAGAGATTCCCGATCACTACCAAAACAGAAAAAAAGAAGAAAACGAGGGAGAAGGAAAAAAAAACGGTCGTTAAGATTCGCACGAATTAGACACAGCCTTTTGGACCTCAACGCCTATTCTATATCTATAACTTTTGTACCTCTTCATACACATACATAAAAAACAGAAAGAAAGAAAGAACTCGCAGGTCTAGTCTTTGTGTATACGCGCATATGTATACGCGCGTGCACAGGCACGTGTACGTATATACATATATTACGAGCAAAATTCTACGAACTATACTATGTACTCTCCACGTCTCTTCACATCACTTATGGAAGCCAGATATATCTCCCACTTCATACTTATAAACTTACGGCAGGTTTTTCTATCGCCAATTACTAATGGGACTAATATCGCTCACACTTTCTCGTTAACTTCATAAGCTTAACCGTAAGGAACGATACTTATCTCTCTTAACTTTAATATACATACACATACGCGGGACGTTCCATTTTGCTCCGAACAAATAAGTCGGGGAACTCATAAACCAAGAAATAAACAAATGTAATAAATATTTGTAGGAAAAAGATACTTCGAGTGTAAAAGCTGTAAGATTTCGAGGAAGTAACCTGGCTGTAGCTGTTGAATAGAAGGAAAAGAGAACTTTAGCCAAGTTCCTCCCCCTCACGAGATTTTGCAATTTTTGTTCGAAATCTTTTCTTCCCGCATCATCGAATTGTTTTTTTTCTTTTTTTAAATAATTCCACCGTTTGGATTAAGATGGTGTATCCCGCGTGTGCATGCATACGTGTGATATGTGCGAGTGCGTGCGTGCGTGTATGTGTGTGTGGTGTACAGGGTGTTTCTCAATTAATTGGCCATTAATCACATACTGTTGTTTCTCATTAAAAGTTGACATGACAAAAATTGAGAATTATTTTTCTCTTCGTTTAACAAAGTAATAATGTACACACAAGCGCACGCGCGTACACACAACATACACACACATACACACACACACGCACACACACATGCGTATACGTGCATATACATATACATATACATATACGTGGTGGCCCGTGAGAGTAGCTACGACAGACGAAATTAAGTTACAGAGTGCATGCTTTTTTTGGAGAAGCACACAGTGACGAGTATTTCTGACGAGATGGTTGCTAGAAAAATTACTGTGAGAGCTACTGTGAGAGAAGCGATAGATGTGCTATGACCTGCTACTTAAATCCGTATTACGTTTTGGAGAGTCTTTTGTGCCAACACACAGTTATACTGTTTGTTCTCGAGTTTCAAGTAATAATAATTTTAATAATTTTAATAATTTGTCAATGTAAGTGCAATTTTCGATCATCGTACACCTTGTAGTCAAATTTGCAAGCGTGCTTTCCTCGCGCGTTCCCCTCGAGTAGTATCTGTCGAGATAATTCGTCCAGGATAATTTCGCCCGAATTACTCAGACTTCCGCGAGATACAGTTATAATTTGACGGGCTGTACCTAATACCGAAGCACTATACATAAGCGACGTATGGTACGCATTGCGCGTACGCGTAATTTGTACGCATAATATATACATATAAAGCAAGATAAATTAGCATCTAACACTGTTGTATATCAGCACAAAATTAAACTTTTATTCTTAATACCTACGTGCGATTCGCGTCTGCGCCGCATACGCGTAGACTCTATTACGTGTCTCTGCGATTGATGTGCACAGATCGACGCAACAGCTTCAATGTTTCTGTAATGACGCAATAATAATCAGGACTTTTGTGTCAGTCGCATAATGTTCCCATAAAGCGCAAAAGTTGCAGCAATATTGCTGCAACATTGCAATATTGTTTCAACGCTGTGGCAACGTTTTTTTTTTCAATTTTGTGCGCTGTATAGATTAACACAAAAAATGACACTCGTGCAAAAAATGGCACTTGTAATACGAATCACGTATATACACAAGAAGAAGAATAACATTTGTACCTTCGCTACTTCGTCAAATAATCAACAGTCATGATGCACGCGAATATATTGACACGATGCGAGTGATGGGAAAATCCTGATTGTTGCTATGTCATTGTGGACGCGTTGAGGCTCTTATACCGATCTGTGTGTACGTATGTGTGTGTATGTGTGTGTGTGTATGTGTGTATGTGGGCGGCGTGTACAGGGTGTCGCGGGAAACGGACGCGAAGGTAACGATAAGTAAATTAAGTTCGAGATGTTTGGGTGGTTTTCTGCATCAATAAAAGAAGCATAATCGCCTGCTCCTTTCCTGATCGTATAACGTAGAATTATGTCGTGTACGAATAACACGAAAATACTCGAGTTACTGCTGCTGCTGATGCGCGCCGTTTTCCGAAATTCCCGTCATTGCATCAAACTTAAACCCTATGTATTATTACATGCGCAGGAACGAGTTCAGGGGGGAAAGGAATACGAGAGCTGTTACATAGTTTGCATCTTGTTTTTCAAGATTTAGTTTTGTCAGAGGCTAGCTGTAGAAATAAATGGGCATGAGAGAAAGAGAGAAAAAGAAAGAGAGTGCCGAGCAAAAGAATGAAAGGGCAGAAGAGAGATTGGAAAGACGGACGCAGAATGGAGAAAATACGACAAAGGGAGAACAACGGAGAGAGAAAGAGAGAGAGAGAGAGAGAGAAAACGGAAGGAGAATAATGAAAGGAGAAAATCAAAAAGGGAAAAAGATGCTCAGAGAAGAGGCAAAATAGGGAAAAAAAGAACCGAGCGATAATGACAATAATAATGTAAAGTGATTTGTACCACAAATAACGTCACTATGCGTATCGATAAATATAGTTTCCCTTCTGATAGAGTTAACTAAGAGAATTACTTTTTTAAATAATTCGAGGTACGTTATTGCTGAGTAATATCGGCTATATGTTACTAGCTATAGATTAATAAATAAATAATGGCAATATTATACGTCCATGAGTAACCATAATTATATATATACATATATATATACATATATATATATATATATATATATATATATACTATATAATGAACGAGATATGTATAACCACAGAATATGTACGTGTGTATTCTATAGTTACACGTATCTTTGTCACATCAATAATTTGTAATATTACATTTGTGGTACGAATCACGACACATAGCCATTGTGTATGAGTGTGTACGCGTCACATACAAAATACTATAAAATTTAAATTATTTTATATTTTTGTTACGCCTCTCTGTGATATAATAAGGGCACATTCACCCCACCCTGTATATGTATGTGCGTTAATCTTCGTATCTCGTTGATTAAAGTGAAACCTTTTGAAGGATCAACCTTGCCAAGCCTTCTCTATTGTATTTCGAAATGCACTCGAGCGTACCTCCATTAACGGTGACGTTAATGGGAAATCCAACATTGTTACAAGATATTGCGCAATGCGATCTTCACAGTCGAGCAAGGTCGATGTTAACTCTATCGTCGAAATTTAATAAAACGCGCACACGAGTATGGTGAATAATTTGAATAATGTATAATATACGGTAAATTACAGATTACACTTTATTATTCATTATTTCAAGCAATATGTAATATATTTTCGTTTAGATATAAAAATAGTTGGATCTTTTGATGTTTTAATTAATGTCTGTAAAGTACAGCTTTTAAGTGGTCGGGTACGTTCAAGTTCGTGTTCGTGAGAGATATAATATACATATATCGTTACACATACGATACCTTGTACCATATTATACTAATCGTATGAATAACTTTAACCGCATTGAATTGTGGAAAATAATCTAATTTATCGATGAATGACGGACGCGCTAATTGTGCAGTGGATACTCGCATGCTGTACAATGTCTGTCTGATACAGGGTGTATCTAAAATAGTGGAGAATTTGATGGCATTTCCCTTGCTTGATTTGGAGACCATTTCCTCTTCGTCAAAGTGTCGAGATGTTAAGTTGTTAATAACTAGATGTAGTAGTAATATCGTTATTAGTGAGTAAAGGAACTTTCTCGATTAAGAACACATTCCTTAAAACAAATTGGCTAATCCGCTTTTTTACAGTTTACTGCACAGGAAGATTGTGCAGATAAACGAAAAATTGATCTCTCTCTTAATTCCAAGTGGACTATATTTTAAGTTCGTTCTTATTGTTCTTTGAAAGTTAATTTTTAATGTACAGTTATTTAATGTCAAAAGTTGAAGCAAAACGAGATGATGTACCACTGGACATTTGCTGAGGGCAAATGGATTCCAAATTTGCCGAAAACCATGCCCGTGCAAACCTTGGCTCACTATTTTAGAAAATAATTTTCCATCCTGTATATGTATACATATATACCATATACGTTATATATGCCTGGACGTTACGATTAGAGTTACTTGTACGATTTTCAAACTTGTACAAACACTAAGCATCATACATGCTTTAACATTATAACTTGGATCACTTGTATGATTTTCAACCTTATACATGTATACATGTACGCACAAGGTAGGAAATCCTAGTAAATAAATGTTAAGGCATATATTATGTCCCATGGTATAAGATTGTAAACGTATATAACTCTCGTAAATAATAGCGCATACTTGACTCTTGGTGTATATAGACGCGAAAGAGAGAAAAATTGTGTGTGTGAGAAAGAGAAAAGAAAAGAGAGAAAGTCACATACTATTAATTATACACGATCATTGTTAATCATGTGGTTGCGGTTCTATTTACACAGTTCGTTTAAAGTGAATAAATAAAAAAAAAATATATTTCAATATTAACCAATGATGCCTTGCGTTTGATTACCTCATTTTATACTTTCTGAAATTTTATTTAAGGGGAGAGAGTAATATATGTCAGCCTTGCGATAATTAAGAAAGATGCATCGCTAGAGATATGAAGAATAAATTAATTATGCTTAAAAATAAGTATTTATATTTTACATAAGTTCGCACATAGAGTATCCTAATTGTATTTGATTTAGCCTTGTCCGGATGTATAAAGGTTTAAGAAGTATACAAAAACCTGACGTGTTGGTGTTACATCATGGCCGTAGTTATCCCGATTACGGTACAAGACAATCATTTGCGTGTATTTACATGGCAGCATTAAGTTATTCACTAGACACGGGAGTTTCCTCTAAGAATAGATTGGGATAAAATCTCAACGCTTCTATTGAATCATCTCTGCAAGCTTTGCCGTGTTTCTCTGTGACTAATAATCTCTCGCGTGCTAATATTACTGACATCCCTTCCGATTGCGCGAGATCCTCCGCCGTCATTGATCCTTTCTCTTTCAACTGCAATTATATAAAAAATAATCATGTTATATTCTGTGATATATGCAATACTCAATACTTACTAATTCCATTATACGATCAACAACAGCATTATCATCGTGAGAAAGAACTTGAAGAACCATAACACCACTATCGAAGGTTCTTAGTACAATTGGTAAACCTAGAAACGCCAGGTGTCTACTGGCATGCAATAAATCTTCAGGAGACAAAAGTTCTAAGCCCCTTGCTCTATTTACACGACAGTAAACGTCTGTAAGTGTCATCATGCCACCTACTTCCTAAAATTGGGCACAATATTTTCGTATGCTCTTTATGTTTACAGAACATTCAATCTACAAACCTTTATTGGTTCTTCCAAAATGTGTGCAAGTTGCTTGGCTAATTGTTTAAAGTACTCATTACTGCTCTTGTACGCATCTCTTGTTACTGGATCATCGATACCTAGGCTCATCAAATAAGCCTTAAATCTGATAGTTTCATCCTCTGTTATGTCTCCTTGCCTCGCCTGTAATGATCTTGCATTATGAATGTCAACCTTACGAAGCTATCATTGAAAATCACCCTTATTTTAGCCGAGATTGTCTTTGAGATGGCCACCATATCTTTAGCCATATCCATAAGTTTTGTGAGGTCTTGAAATGCCAATGAAATACTTTCATCAGTTTCTTTTTGCTTCTCTTGTAGACTTCTTTCAATGCCTATGATTCCCGTTCGTGTTTTTATCTGCGGTAACAGTCCTGAATTTGTTTGATTATCATGGACATTCATGTTGGACATTAAATTAGTAGGAGGAACAAATTCCCACATTCGTCTCATAATTGTATCAGACAATTGTGTTATAAAATTTGAATCCAAGCCTTCTTTAAAGGATAATTTGACATAATTATGCAAATTCTTGTCTGTTGGGCCTGGCATTTTATCTAAAAATATATAAACATTCTTAGCTTGATGTTAAATCAAGTAATTTATTCAATCTACTGGTTTAACTATAAGTCTTACCAATAGCAGGCTCAGAGAGATGTAACACAATCTTTTTACTGCGCCCAAAGGAAAAGGGCCCAAAATTTTCTTCCTCGAAAAAAATAATGTATCTAAGTGGCAATGACAGGCAAGTATTACCTCGTGGTATGTCACCAGGTCTACCCCAAAGTATCCTGTGACTAGATAGAATTAGTTCTCCGCCTTCAAAGTTAGTCTGTTAACAATTATATTAATATTAATATCTGCATGTCTAGAGCAATAATAATCATGTCATTTTACACATAATATTACAATCTTCTGAAAGAATTATGTACCTTTGTATCACCATCATACAGACGTACAGCCATGTCACGTCTCACAAAAGTCTCATGCGGCTGCAGCCGAGAATCAGCGTATTCGAATCTATTCATCGTTAAAACTTCCCGTGAACTATTCTATTGTTCTATCCCTTCGTGATGACCTGGAGCCCCTGCTCCTTCAGTCTGTCGAGATGAACTTATCGAGAATTGTCAAAACGAAGAACCATATTGCCTCGTGAACTGTACGTCTTGATTTATTTACGCCCGTTTCTACCAACTGTGATTAAATTTAACCGGTTGATTACTCTATCGGAATTGACCAATCGCATTTGCCAATATTGGTTAACGACAGACACGATTGGTTAATTCCGTTGGAATGAACAGCTGGTTAAGTCAACCACGGTCGGTAGAAACGGGCATTAGTTTCTCTTTTACCAAACTCCTGTTAAACTAACCGTTTTGTGTTTGTTTCTATTAACCTCAGTTAATCTAACCATTGGCTAGTTATTCCAACGTAATCCACCAATCGCATCTGTCGTTGATCAGTATTGACAAGTGCGATTGGTCAATTTCGATGGATTAACCAGCCGGTTAAATTAACCACAGTTGGTAAAAACAGGCATCAGTAACTTGGGATGCGTATCTATTCGCAGAGAGTAACCTGAGAGCGGCCAATATTTTCTGCGACACCGACTTTCCGCACTGGAAAAGGACGCCATCTGCATCCATTTTGAGAGGGGAACTACGATAGTACATCCACTTTCAGGTCTCGGTGGTAAAATCTGCATATGGTGGAAGTCCATGTTACATCCACTTTCAGGCGGTTTATGTCCGTGCTGCAATGACAGTTGCCATCTCTATGCCAGACTATGCCCGGTGGTCTAAAAAGAGCGGGGGAGAGGGGGGGAGGAGCAGAAAAAATAAAAGTACGTATTAAATGTTAAATCTTCGAATATTTATTGCCGTATCAAAGTCTCTTCTATAATAAACAATTTGACATGTATGGAGACGCATGATGTATCGTTGTCCGCGTCCCGTTCACTTCGTCTTGTTTTTTAATTCAGCATCCCGTCCGCTCCGGACATTCGCTCGTGGCACTGACAGTGGCCGTCGGTGAGCATTCGATCCGCTCGGAGGAGCACGTGTTATTCACGTAATTAACGTAACGAGACTCCGATTATAAATATCCCGCGAGTCGACGAAATATTTGAACTTTTAAAAAAAGCATCAAAGAAAATCACGTTAATGTTGTCATGGGTAAAATCTCACCCCGGTATATATTTTCTTATTTTCGAAATAAAAAAAGCCAAACGAATGCAATTAAATGTTATTTATCATCATTGAATATTAAATGAAAAGTAGAAGAGTTATTGTCGGCAGCGGATAATCTCCCTGTATAAAATGTCGAACTGAAACATATTAAAAAGTATTGACATTTTGAATACGTCTGAATTCTGCTTTCTGATCCGAAGAAAGGGAAAATAAAAAGTATTAGTTCCCATTAAATTTCACCGCGCTAAATGCGAGATGGCAATAGTGAATGCTTCGCATTAACAAGGATTCAATTCGTTTCAAATATGCCTTGTATTCAATCGCAATCGATAATTTTTAAATGCGAACTTTCGTATTGAAAAATATTCACTTCTTCTCCTAATCGTTTTCGGATTCAGAGGCATACAAGATTTTCACGTTCTATTCCCCGTCGCATTAAAAAGTATTCACTCGCGATCCAATCTGAGAGCAGAATTCACGACAAAATCTCGTGAATGCGAAACAATACTTTTAAATACGACATTTTATACAGGACTAATATTTAATAAGAGCGCGACTAAATTCGCATAGGATGAAATTCCATTCTTTAACGCTACCATGACCTTTAATTATTCTCTGAAAACGGCGTCACAACAATTTACACTCAGTACAATTAGTTGCTAACACATTTTCTAATCGTACACATTCCTCCTTAATTAACATAAAGCTAACAAATGTCCGATGCTTCGACAGAGTAATTTTCTTTATTTTCAGTAATCAATAAATAGAGTGCATCAATGTCGCGTACAGTTGAAAGGCCTCCTCGCATTCCCCTCGTCGTTCCGAAACCTTCGAGAAAACAAGAGACGCTCAAAGGCAAGTCTCTCTTGCTTCAACCGCCGCCGAGGCAATGTTTACATCGCGCCGATTGTGTTGATCGGCTCGCGAGCGACGACACTTTTTGCCCTTCGTATTATAATACTCGCGCATCTCATATATTCGACCTCATTCCATCAGCAGCAGCCGTGCGCGACGCTCTCGTCACTTCCGTCTCGTGTAATTAAAAGAAATATATCTCGTCGGTCCTCGAGATACTCAATCGGCATCGCGTCGGCATCTCATTCATTAACTGCACGGTCGAATCGCGAGTATCAGCATTAGAAGCGTGAGCGAGTGAAATCCGAAGGACTTCAGCAGTCGAAAAGCAGAATGCCGGCAGCGATACGTCACGTTTCCAGGTATGTGGAATCATTTATTACGCGGGAGGTCTCCGATAACGAGAGCGTACGTTTGACGAATTTTCCGGGAATAAGAAGTCGGAATTTCGCGCTCGGCATTCACAATCCGTCATCATCCGACTAGTAATCATCACTTTATGAATTTGCAATTACTCTCGTCAATCTCTGTCTGTCTATCTATTTATTGCGTTGTTGTATACAAAAGATATTGATCCAGACAGAGACCAATATTCTAGACCAATATTCTACACAAGACCAATATTGATCTTGTGTAGAATATTCAACGTCATATCGCTTCTTAGACTGCGACCTTTTTTGTTTTCGGTCAGCGCTTCTTTCAAGTTTGTTTACTCTTGTTACGGGATCTGAATTTAAATGTCCATCCGTAAAAGAATATTTTCGAGCGCACATAACTGTTGTCTCCGCTTCTTATTGTCATTTTCTTTCGTCAGCTCTTTCAAGAGCTCCTATCTAGACATTCAATGTCAATAAAGAAAAAAAATCGTAGCGAATATTCTCCACTCATCCCGACCAACCATTTTTTCTCTACCGCAGCTTACCAACCATGAACGCTAAATTTTTGTTCCAGACGTTGCGGGAAGCAAGTCCGGCGGACACGGATGCCGCACCGGAGGATCCGGTTCGGGCAGAGCAGGGTCGGCCGGAAAGTAAAGTTTACAAGTTTCCTACACATCTGTGTTCAACTCTTTACGATCTTTGCCTTTGTAACTTGTTCCTCATCAGCTCTCTTGAAAACTTCAAGTCCCATTTAAATTTTTAATGTTGGAACAAAAATATAAAGATAAAAATTCCGTATCAAAATATATCCGTATTTTCGATTGGTCCCGATCAAAGATATTCTCTCTCTACCGCAGGTTTTCAACCGGGAAAATTATTTTTCTGTTTCAGTTGTTGCGGAAAGCAACAGCAATCCGGTGGACGCGGATGCCGCATCGGAGGATCCGGTTCGGGCGAAGCAGAGTCGGCTTGAAGGTAAGTTTACAAGTTTACTATAGTCCTCTGTTTGACCCTTGGCGATCTAGAGTTGGGATATAATTTCCGGCTCGACTTGAATTACGATCGCAGAGGGTAAACTACTCTTTTACTCGCCCGCACTCGTTGGTCAAATCTGATGAGCAAATGTGAATTTTTTGTTACAGAGTTGAAGCGGAATGTGGCCGGCTCTGACTGCAAGTCGTTTCGGTGAGTCAAAATGAAAAGAGAAACAAAATTCTGCATGACGGATGTGGGACTAAAAAATATCGTTCGAGTCAATGCGAATTGCAAATAGATACTTGCATGTGTGTATTTGTGACGTTGAATAAAATACATTGCTCGAAACAATCAGGGGATTACTTGATCGATAGCCTGCATCACATACAAGATTTAAAATACTGAATGATTCTCTTTGATGTTCAGTCATCTGAATATTCATATGTACAAACGCGACACCGACATCAGCTGCTTTATTTTTATTTTTCAAGCGGGCCGCAGAATTACTTAACGATTTAATTATTTGACAATATTCAATTGTCCATATAAAATATATTCAAAACGTCCAACGGATTTTGACGGTGCTTCAAAAGCACCGTCAAAATCCATTGGACGAGTCAATAAATTTTCACACGGTTCTTACTCCTCGCCGATCGAGTTTATAGAGTCCATTTCGCAGCGCGCAAAAAGTTTCCACCGATGGCAAGTAAAGCGTTCGTTAATTGATGTAAATATCGCCGTTCTAATATCGCGTGTCGACGGCGTCGCGGAAGTGTGATGAAAGTGTAGCGATCACCGTGGGACGAGTTGCAAGATGGATGTTGCGCGACATGGAGAGCGGCAGCGGACATGGGCGAACATTGGTGGATCTGGTTGGATGCAACAGGACATAATCAATATCATCATTGGTGAGTGTCTAACTCAAAGCTCGCAGAAAGAACTTTTATTATTACTTTATTATTACTTTTATTATTATATTACTTTTATTACATTGTGCATGACGCAAATTTGCATTGACTCTTGTAACGAAAAATATATTCTATGAATCACTGTCCTATATTATTGCCATATATTGTTGCCACATATTGTTGCCATATATTGTTGCCATATATTGTTGCTATATATTGTTGCCGTATATTATTACCATATATTAATCCCATATATTGCCATGTATTCTCGCCATATATTATGGCCACTTGAAATCGCGCGAGCAAGAAAACTGAATTTATCGGTAATCGCAAAGGCGCGGCAGACGTCACAAATGGATGTTAGTAGCCGGTCTCAGGATTGACCGATAATAATACTGTTGCTGCAATTTAACTTTAAACAACAGCGGCCTCAGATCGCAAGAAACTTTTAATCGCGGACTAACCTTTCGAACGAAATGTTCCCGAGAAGTGCTCTTGAGATAAATGGAAATTATAAGCGAACCTCATCGATAGCATATTTAATCTTCGATATCACATAAAGGTCTCAACATACAGGAACGCTCTTTTGCAATATAGCTCTATATCAACCATACTTTGACCATAAAGCTCGACAATCAATTCACAGTAGAAATGGAGATATTAATATCACAAGTTAAACATTTTAACTCACTATATCTCCTAAACGGTACAAGATACAGGAACGCGCTCTTGCCACAATGTAGTCCTATAACAACCCTAATCTTACCATAAATTTCCACTCTCAATTCCCAGTAGAAGCGGAGACATCAAAGGTACAAGTTGAAAAACTTTAACCTTCGATATCTCCTAAACGGCTAGAGATACAGGCCTGTTTCTTGCACCAAAATGTCCTCTAAAAACACTACATTTCACCATTAATTACGACTGTCAACTCCCAGTAGAAGCGGAGATATCAACGGAGAAAGGTTGGAAAACATTAATCTTCGATATCTCCTAAACGGTTAGAGATACAGGCCTG